TCGTGGTCGTCATCGTCGTCGTGGTGCTTCATCACTGTTCGGGAGTCTACACTGACAACACAGGGGTTTACAGAAGCATTTGCACAACATCGAAGGCAGTAAATGGTTTATGATGGATGGATGGGTGGAGCAAGATGGCTGGCTGGCTCGCTGGCTGGCTGGCTGAATGGATGGATCGATGGATGAATTGATAAATGCATGAATGGATGAGATGCTGTCCGCTCGCTGCTCTTCACGCTTTCGGTATGCCCGCTCTCTAGCCCCCAGCTCCCAGGCCAGCTTGCTGCACCTCGGCTTGCATTTTAGGTGAAAGCCAGTGGTAGCTTCCTCGGAGATTTTTTGGAAGCACTGTCCCCTGTTCCCGAGGGTGACACTACAGCTCTATGAAGAAGCTGATGCTTGGCAAGAATTCGATCTCAGAGTGGTTTAGGCAGACTCAGTCGTCACATCCTTGCATGTTGCACCGTGCCATGGCCTTCGGGCACAGCTGGTCCTAAAGTGCTGCTATGTAGGCATGTGACGATGCTCTGTAGGTGTCCTGGCGGCTGCACTTGGAAAGAGATGAGGGATTCGTTGATGTAGACCTGATGTGAGGCCACATGTGCCTCCCCTGCGAACTATGGACCAACCTCGCCTGCATTGTCCGAGTTGCAAGAGTCTAAACCCTAAACCCCCCTTTGTTTTTGGCCCTCACCTGCCTGGTCCCGAGGAGCCCCTCTGCCGCCGTGCTCTGCGGAACCGGGAGCGCCACCTTGGCAGAGAGCACCGCGACACACTGACCTCGGTGCCTGGATTTCGATGGATTTGGGGGTCTTGGGCATTTGATGTCTAGGGTTCTTGGACATATTGTGGATTCAGGGCTGTTCGGAACCATGGGCTTTGCAGGTCGTAGGCAGTCGGGGTTATGATAATCAAAGCAAGAGCAGCAAGCGAGATGTTGTGCGCAGGTCTGTTCATGCCTGGATCAGGCCTTGTTTCAGTTCCGCACAGGTGAACAATCTCGCCTTCTTGCTGAAGTCCAAGAAGATGTGCCCCGTCAACCTCACACTCTGTGGTGATGTCAGTTGCCCTGCAAGCATGTGCATGTCTCAAATGACAAACACATGAGCATGTGGCTGGCCCGCTAGGCTAGGTGGAAGTGAGGATGAATGTCGCAGCATTTATATAGTGCTTTTAAGAAGGTTGCACCACGTCATGCTTCAATGGCTTTGTTCGCGATGCCTGGTAGAAGAAGCCCAGTGTGCTGACTTAGTTTCTGCGCAGGAGATGTGCTAACTACGAAGGGGACGGGCTGCTCTGCGCTTGCCACCCTTAGCATCGACTTGTTGCGCTTGACACCGGTCTCTGCTGCATGCGAATGCCATGTAGGTATGCAGATGCAGAGTACTACTATCGTCGTGCACTGGATGGATTCCAAAGCACCTTGGGTCCTGACCACCACGATCCTTGGATCGGACTTCGTACCTGGCCTTTCCTGTGTGGTAACGCCGGAGTCAGACCATGTCTCTGTCCCTGTCTCTGTGTGCCCAGCGTGATCTTCACATTTGGGAGAACATTCCTGTGCACATGCACGGAGGTGTTGCAAAGGCATCGGTGCACACAGGTGTGTGTGAATACATTTAGACATACATACATACATCCATACATTCATGTATACATGTATACATGCATACATGCATACATACATACATACATGCATACATACGTACATACATACATAAGCACACAGAGATAGACGGATATATATATATATATATATTTATGTGCATAATATATATATATATATGTGTGTGTATATATATATATATACCTATACGGTTTTATGTGTGTATATAGATATACAGGGACATATATACAGCTATCTGTATCCATATTTATATCTGTATCTATACCCATATCTATATCTATATCTATATCCTTATCTTTATCTTTATCTATATCTGCATCTGTATCTAATGTCACAGATCTAGATCTATATCCTCATCCTTCTCGAATCTATATCTATATCCGCGTCCACGTCTATATCTATATCTATATCTATACCTGTATCTGTATCTATATCAATATCTATGTCTGTGTCTTTGTCTATGTCTATACCTATATCTATATCTACCCATGCCCCAAGCCTAATGATGTCCATGGTCTAGTGCGATTTGGGATCAAAGCATCCATGCCCAAAGCCTAGTGACGTCCGTGGTCTAGCGCGACTTGGGAGCAGATTACCCATTGCCAGAGCCTAGTGACGTCTATGGTCAGCATCGCTCCCAACCATACTGAATAATGGCACGTTGCATCGCGCCGAGTGGAGCTCCTACTATTGAATACTTCTGAAGAACTTAGTGCTACTAATTGAATCAGGTTCAAGTCATTTCATCGTCATCATTATCATCATCACCACCGGTACCATTATAATCATCTTCATATTTGTCATCATGTAAGTACTGAGACTCCGCATCGTTTATCGTCGTCATAAGAATCTCACTATCTGCATGATCAAAGTATGTTGCTCTTCCTGATGACAGTGATGATGCATGTTGATCGTCGTGCCAATGTTCAGGATGCTCGTTATGAACATGCTGGGAGAGGGGCGTCGCACCAGGGGTGTCAAGCGTCGTCGTCGTCGT